ACTTTTGTTACTGAGTAGTTGTACTCACTCTATTATCTTCAATATTATAGGAAATAGCTCAAGAGGATTGAACAAAGAAAAACAGCCAGAGGCATAGTACTGTGATCCTATTAGTAGGCCTCTATATTTTAGGTATTTATCTGTATATGATGATTGAATTGCCAACTAGGGATTATCCATTTTTATACCTTGCATTATTTATTCTATGAGCTGTGAGTGTATTTTAGGGCCTAAGGAATGTGTTTGTGAGATGTGATATTTGTAACAGGGCCAAAATACTAATACAAGTACGAGAAGGGCAGAACATGTGATGTTTTAAAATAGAAAATTTTAGCTCCCTCTTCTATTTTGAGAATTTAAGGGTTGAGCGCTAAACATGCTATTTTCTAGTATTTTATGTGTTGTGATACATTGCACAGGTTGGTCTTGATCTATTGTATGTGGTCAAAATGGTGTTAGTGGCTCTAGGCTTTTAGAAAATGATTTGCGGCACTTAGTTGTAAAAAATGTTGTGAAAGTGTAAGTTTTAAAAAGAGTTTAAATTTTAAATGAGTAATAATTTAGTTATGAAATTCAAGTCATTAGTTAGAGTTTGGAAAGAGCTTTCCACAGACACCTAGTTCGTATCAATTGGATGTCGAATGGAGGAATGAAGCGTGTCGGAAGTTGCCTCGAAAGCTATCATTTTGACAGCATAAATTTACTGTTATGAAACGTGCAATGCACCGTGATGCATGGTGCCACAAGCCGCGATAGATGGCATAGAGGCGAACAAGCCACAGTGGATGTTCAACGAACTGTGGTGTGTGCCTAAAATTTTACAAAATCTCTCTGTTTTTTGACTCTTTAACAAATGCATTAATTCTTGAAATAATCTTATGTTTCCGCATAGTTGTAAACTCTGATTTATCTATTTCAAAAGTATTTGAAAATGGTTTAAGTTTTGAAAATTTGAGATCCCAACTTTTTCACTTATTTGTAAACTTGGTAACATGCCATTTACATTGAGCTAATCTTTTTAATTATGAAGATTTGGAGTTAATCATGGACTAAGGAGGGGGATATTACATATGTAACACATACTATTTGATTTATCACAAATATATACATCTTGGGTCACAAAAATAATAACCAAACGCCCCTAAAACACGCTGGATCACAATAATAATAACGATATGGTTGGAACTATAAATGCATGATTAATGCCATCCTTATATCCTTCTAATACCTCCGACATACTATTTAATTATGGAAATTTAGAGTTAATCATGGATTAGATGAGGTGGATATTACATATGCAACACATACTATTTGATTTATCACAAATATATACATCTTGGGTTACAAAAATAACAACCATGCACCCCTAAAACACACTGAATTACAATAATAATAACCATATGGCCGGAATTATAAATGCATGATTAATGCCATCCTTATATCCTCCTGATACCTCCGACATGAAACTGATGGCTATTAAGTGGCTATGTCCATAACTCATACTAACACATTCTTTCACTTGTGAGGAGCTATTGAGCCATGGTTAACTTACTCACTTGTGTAATATGGTTTCTCTCAATACTAATAACCATAGGGTGTTGTACCTCTAATCTAGCCTTCTCATGGACCGATGGAGATTAATTAGGTTCGAGTCACTTAAAGAACAAATAGGACAATCCTGAATCAATTATGAGACAATGGTACATCTCGATTCTAACGGTCAGTGCTAAGGCAAGTTTTCGATTCCAACGATAAAATGCTAGTACCACGTAAATTACCAATCTACTCATCTCTCCAAATGAACTTTTGCCAATAATCATTCTATGCACATATTACACGATATCACTTAAGCACAATTAATCACATCACATAATATTCACAAATTCCTTTCTCATTATACGTCACATACCAATCATCACATATTTACTGTTTTTATAAAGATATGTTCTCAAACATCAACATTAGCCACAAATGTATAAATGTGCATATTATTTCTCCACATTTCTATATAAAATTCATATCACAATACATCACATTGTAACATTTAAATTAATGGGTTCTCAAGTACCTAAATAAATTTTTTAAATGATTTAGTTTAACTAACAAATAATTAACATATAACTATACAAACAAGATTTTCTCCCAACTACTTCAAACCTTTGAGAGATCAAACATTTACCTCTCAAAATATCGACTTCCAAAGCTTTTTCTTAAGCTTGAATGGTGTTAATTGGATTAATCTATAATCATATCACAATGATAACATTATTACCTCATTTTTGGGCAAATTTCTAATAATATAACTTCACATACTCTTTTTATCAAAGTCATAAACTTAGTACCCATTATACCCAATGGGTTACTAGGTCCTAACAATTCACATTATCATTAATGAACTATTAACTCACCATTAATGGCCATTAAATGCTCCTAACAATCTTATTTATTGTCATTTTTGAGTATTAATAATTCCCAACTACTAATAATCTATAAAACCATAAATGTAAGGTTTAAATACTTTAGACACTCCCATTATATCCATTTTAGTTAATGGATTCAGACCCATAACTCATATGGATCGAAAGTTACTCTCTTAACTCAAACCCTAATTTTAACTTTCACGAAAATAGAAGGAAAGGGGAGGGAGAAGCATAATGTACTTACCTTATAAGTAAGGAAGCTCCAAAATGTCTCCAATAGTCTCCAATTTCGTGCTTTAGCAGAGCAATGTGTGTGCTCTTGTTATCCATTTTTTCATCTCTTTTGATTTTTCGAATCGACATAAACTGGTTTAACCAAAAATTTGGCAATGTGCTGTGCTGCATGTAACCCATCCTACGACGCATGTCACAAAGAGGCCTAGCTTAATTTGGTTACCTCTGTGCGTCGTGGTGGATATCCCTTACACTGCGGCATGTGGCACAGATGACCCTTCTTTAATTCTTTCTTGCCTTTTAATGCTTGAATGGTTCGACTTCACTTCAAACCCACATTTAGAATTGAAATCACAATCAGTTACACTAGTTAAACCTCTCTGGCTACACACCACATTAATTCACTTAATTATTCTAATTAAGCTTAGTTAATTAGGTTTAAATTTATAGGATGTTACATACAAAACAATCACTTTTGCTTTTTAAAACAATTTTGAAGCTATCCAAACTTCCCCAGCAAGTGCCAAAAGCCCTTAGGCCTCTTAGTCCGACTTGAATACACTAAATTACACCTAATAAAGCAATCATACAATCAAATCAACATACCAAGCGCATTTTGGCCACTAAACCCCATTAATAATGATAACAGGGCACAAAAACATAGTTTATAGAAATATACCACAATAGCCAATCTAACATCCTAGCCAAAACAAAACATATACTTGTACTAATATTTCGGTCTTTTATTATACACTCAACTCATACACATAATCCTAGGTTAGAATACCAAAAATGACCTACTACTATCATGCAAGTGCAATTCGAATGAATGTTTGCCCTAAGTTTTTTTTTTGGCTTAAAATGTTTGTCCTAAGTTGACAATACATATATATACATATTCGTGAATTACACATAAAAAATAAAGTACATTACAATAATAAGCTCTCCTACTCCTTACTTGCATCATTCTCCTTTTTGTTATTGGAGGAGTTTTTACTTGTAAAAATTGTAAATACGAAGTGAGAATAATGTCTCAATAACCAAACACATTTAGGAGTTTTTATATTTTTGAATATAAAACCTCTCAAAAAATATTTTATATTTTTTAATAGAGGAGTATATAATTTCATATACTTTGTATGGATATTAATAAATTACTTCAATTAAAGTTTGATAAACCAAAACATGACCCTCTAAGATTTGATTTTACTATTTGTTATGTAGAATTGCTTTCATGCTAAAGTTTAGTTGACCACAATCAAACACTACGCCGAGGCAATTAGACAATGACCGGCAGTGCTGCGCCAAGCTTGCCCCACTTTTCATGAAACTTCCTATTCTAACGAGTTTCAAAGATTCCAAGGATATCAAATGACCTTCTAACCATGATATTCAAAGATTTTGGGCGACAATGGTTGGAATGATAAGTTGTTTTTCAAAATTTTAGAAAGGATCCATCCCCTTCGTGTTTTTAGAATTTTATTGGATTTTTATTATATAAATTACTCCATTCAATATAAAATATAAGTATTTTCTTTCAATTAATTTTAATCTAAAATATCAACATTTTAGTATTTGTAAATTTTTTTAATATTACCCCTGGTAATTATCAATCCATACTTTTGTGTTTAAGAATTTATGACTCTGTTCTTATTTATCATAAATTAGAACAAAGGGTTAAAAAAAAAAAGATAATATATGTTTTTATGAGAATAATAATTTTATTAATATGCAAATTATTATTAAAAAGTACTTATATTTTGGATTAAAAGGAGTATAAATTAATTCAGTCTAGTAAAAAAAAAATTTTTAAGCACCATTTTTATTACAAATTGATTGATTATAATCATATGAGGGAGAATTTCATGCTTGGCCCTTGGATATGACTTAATTATGAATTAAAACCAAATCAATTTGAAAATACATTATAGACAGTTAAGATTAAAATGAAAATAATTTTATAAGCCAAATGACTAAAGTGCAATTAATAGAAATGAAGACAAATAACCTGAATTACTGCTTAATATGACAATAAGTTGTAGTGTATTTTTAGATTTATTTGATAATGATTTTTAATTAAATTCTAATATGAAATTCTTCCTAAAAATTTTGAGTATAAATAAAAACTTTGGTCAACGGCTCAACGCTTCATTTGAAACCCAACTGCAGGCGGTCTCCTTCATGAGTTCATTCCCTGCACCTTCTCCTCTCCCAGGGTGCCACGTCTCATATGCTCCAATACTGGGACCCACATACTCGATTGTACTGTATTGTGGTCTGTGGTGGCTCCAAATTGTGTTCTCTTCTCGACTATATAAGAGCCTCTCCACCCTTTTTTTTTCTCTTTCCGCCCTTTTCTGTCTCTCGCCTTCGCCGACGGCCACCGGCGATTATTTATTATTTCTTACTATATCTCGTTTATGTTTTTTTTTTAAATTTTTTATTTACAATTTTTTCACATTTCCATCCGAGCTCCTAGCTTCAGTCATTGCGCTTTGGGTACGCTGCAGGATCTTAAGATCACGTGTTCTTTCATCCTGATTCGTGACGAAGCTCCAGCTCCGGCAGGTGTGCGCTCAATTTTCTTTTTCTTCTTCTTAAATGTTCTCTCACGGGGTTGATACTTGATAGGTGCTGGGTCTTGGATTTCTAATCGGGTTGGTGATTTTAAGGGTTTATGAATTGTAATTTGGCTCATTGTGAATAGGAATCGGCGGCACTGATCGGAAGGTCCTGATTTATGTGAATTGGTTGCGGTAGCTGCAATGTCTGGCCCGCTGGATCGTTTCGCCAGACCTTGTGAGTGGCCTTTCTCCATCTCTCTCGACTTTTATTTCTTTTGCAATGCGAGGCGGCTCTTACTTTCTTGGCGCGCTAATTCTAGGGTTTTTCCCTTTTCACTGTTCTCATTTTCTCTTTAAAGAAATTAGAATTAGAACGTCGTATTGAAACCTTCGGGTTTGACTCTAGGCTAGGCGAAGCTAGCAACTGTTGGGGTTCAATGTAGGGAGGCAAGTGCTGTTATTTTATGGTTTAGTGAATTTGTTTACTCCTACTTCTAGAAAGAAAAAGGTTTATTGCCATTTTATTTTAAGATCTGTCCTTGGTGATCGGACAGAGCAGGCTTAGGTTATCAGAGCTTTGAGAAATCCTGGGTTTTTGTGGTTAAAGAATAGTTATCTTTTTAAAGCAAGAACGTTGCTCTATGTAATTTTCAGCTTTAATAATTTTTAAAAAAGGCTCATGCTGGAAATTTCTACCTTCATTTTTATTCCATGTTTGTGTAATGCTTCCAGGCTTTGAGGGGTTCTCTGGAAGTGATGAAAAACGGGACAGGAAATCTGATTTTGAGAACTCAGAGGATGAAAGACGGACAAGAATTGGTTCTCTAAAAAAGAAAGCAATTAACGCGTCTACCAAATTCAAGCATACTCTCAAGAAAAAGAGTGGCAGGAGGAAAAGTGATGGCCGAGTTAGTTCGGTTTCTATTGAGGACGTTCGGGATTTTGAAGAATTGCAGGTTGTTGATGCCTTCAAACAATCATTAATCATGGATGAATTGCTCCCAGAAAAACATGATGATTACCATATGTTGTTAAGGTGCAATTTTTTTAGAGAGCAAAAAGTTTACTTTTTCTCTCTTTATGTGGACATTTGTGTTGAAGAATTTGATTTTTGATGCAATGTATTTTTTATTAGCAGGTTTAGGATTTTGATGGCAAAATTTTCCTTTTCTATTGCCTGCATATATTAAGCTTGGATTTTTTTTTTTTGCACAGTGCATTTTATTTAAGTGGATATTGTACAGGAGTATTATATAGGGATGTTAAACTTGTACTTTTGCTGTTGAACAAGACTTTTGGTTAACACTATGCTCAAATGTTTGGTTGTTGATAGAACTGACCCCATTTAGTGGGATGAGGCTTGTTGTTTAAACCTGTACTTCAACCATAGCTCTTTGAATTTAATTTATATGCTCCATTTCAGTACTGTGATTTCGTGGCTGAAAAGTTGATTCATATGTCTTTCTTAATATTTAAAAATGGTACACACAAAAATTCAATATAGTTTGTTGCTAATTTGTTTATGGTGGTTTTGGAATTAATTTTATGATATTGGTTTTATAATTGTTTTTTCTCCTTAATTTTTACACTGCACAGGTTCTTAAAAGCAAGGAAATTTGATATTGAAAAGGCAAAGCACATGTGGGCTGACATGCTCAAATGGAGGAAAGATTTTGGTGCTGACACCATTTTGGAGGTAATGTAGATATTACATGAAAAATATTTACTTGATTTCCGCTGATAAAAATTTAGGGGACAAGACTTGAACTTTCAGTGCTTGATATTTTCTGTGCCCTCCATGCTTAATATTTTGTTTTAATCAGGATTTTGAGTATAAGGAGTTAGATGATATTCTGGAATGTTACCCTCATGGTCATCATGGTGTTGATAAGGAGGGAAGACCAGTTTATATTGAAAGACTTGGAAAGGTTGATCCACACAAACTTATGCAAGTGACAACTTTGGATAGATACGTAAAGTACCATGTCCAAGAGTTTGAGAAAATCTTTGCAATTAAGTTTCCTGCCTGCACCATTGCTGCCAAGAGGCACATAGATTCAAGTACCACAATCTTAGATGTTCAAGGCGTGGTATGTTTCCAACAATTGTTCCCCATTATAGTTGCACGTGAAATCAATTCTTATGACATCTATTATCAGGGTTTGAAGAACTTTACAAAGTCTGCTCGGGAACTCATAATGGGATTGCAAAAGATTGATGGAGACAATTACCCTGAGGCAAGCAGTTCTTTCTATACCATTTTCGATTTTTCTTAATTGGAGATTGGTACCAGCTTTTCTGGAACATTTGGTTGATGAATATTTGCTATGGTCTCATTGATGAATAATTTGTCTTTGATTTATGTATGATACAGACTCTCTACCAAATGTTTATCATAAATGCTGGCCCTGGATTCAGGCTACTGTGGAACACTGTCAAAACTTTTATTGATCCCAAAACAACTTCTAAGATTCATGTATGCCAAAATGCGGCCTTCTGGCTGGTCAAATAGTTTTCTTTGATAATTGTTTTTGGCTGCTAACATTTCTCTATATTTAATTTAATGCTTATTGGAAATTGCATAGGTTCTTGGAAACAAGTACCAGAGCAAATTGCTTGATATAATTGATGCCAGGTATTTTCATATTTCTGCATGTTAGAATTCTCTCTCTCTCTCTCTCTATAAATACTTTTTCACCAATACAATAACTTCATGCTTTTCTAGCATCTCCAGATTATTCAGATTATTCTGCTATGCCTAATGATTTTGTGCATTTAATGAAGTGAGTTGCCTGATTTTCTTGGAGGCACCTGCACTTGTGCAGATCTGGGAGGTTGCCTTAGATCTGACAAAGGGCCTTGGAAGAACCCTGAAATATTGAAGGTAATAAATGCTTTTATAGGATACATTGCTGATACTTTACCCTTGACTGTTTTGGTCGTTTTTATGCAACATCAGTTGGACTTGTTTGTTTTAGGCTAATAGTTGAATTTATGTGGACTTTGTTGCAGATGGTTCTTAGGGGCGGGGCACGTGGGCCTAGGCAGGTAGTAAAAGTTCTGAACAGTGAAGGGAAGGTTATTGCATATGCGAAACCTCGATATCCAATGGTATTCCTTCTCTGCTTATAACTTTTTTTTTTTTTAACTGGTGTTTAACTTAATGGCTTAGTGCTTCTCCTCTCCTTTGGCACCCTCCCCTTTTTTTTACTCCCTTAACATATAATATTATCAAGTGTTTTGTCTCTTGAACAGGTAAAAGGCAGTGATACATCTACTGCTGAATCAGGGTCTGAAGCAGAAGATATTGCTTCTCCAAAAGCAATGAAGAGTTACTCACGTCTTAGGTTGACCCCTGTTCATGAGGAAGTAAGTGTTGACCTATTTTCTTTGTACTTCTAGGACGTGTATGGGTAGATGGATTTGGATTCTAGATCTAAAATCTCACATTTAAAATCCATGCATTTAAAATCCTTTGTTTGGATAGTATAAAAAAATTTGAAATCTGAAACTTTAAAGGAGGGTTGGTGGCTTTGTGCAATACACTAAAATGTGCCAAAGTTTAGGGTTCACTTTTGAAATAACTAGGTTAGAGTGAGTATTTGAAATTCTAAAGAATTATAATAATAAAATTTACTTGGATTTGGGTTTATGGATTTTTATCTACTTAAATGATGGATTTGGCCCAAATTCAAATCCAAATACCCCAATCCTAGCACAACATAGTCTTTATTGTATGACAAAGGTTGCTAGTCCTTTCTGAAGGTCTTTTGTGCAAATCCCCCTTCCAGCCCTAGTCAGAGACTTAAAACTTTATTCACATTTATGAGTTATTTGTCAGGCGAAGGTTGTTGGAGAGACAAGCAATGCTGGTAACTTATCAGGTAATGATGAGTATGTTCCAATGGTGGACAAATCTGTTGATGCTAGCTGGAAAAAGCAACCATTTCTACAGAGGTCTTGTACTTCTAAAGGTTAGCAACTTTGGCTTAGAATTTATAGCTAATAGAGATATCTTCTCATGGCACTTTATTCACTGCAAATAGAAAACTTAAAGGAACTAGTGCTTCTAAAAATGATCTTGCACCGTGAAGCTGGGAGTATTCTATTCCAAATCTTATTATGCTTAAATGCCCTTTGGTTCTCTACCTCTCTTGGAGATTTGATGGCTGTAAATGCTTGTTGATTTCCTTCTCTATAGTTGTCAGTAGCTTTGGTAGGAACTTTGATGGCCATAAATGCATAATTTCAGTAGCTTTGCTGTTGAATAGTGTCACTTCATATCATGAACGATTGAGCGAAATTATATTTTAATGTGGGATCAATAAATGCTATACTGGAGTGAATCTGATTAGCATCGGCTCAGTAGTTGAAGATGTGACTTGTGAGCTTGTTTTTCAGTTTCACATGCAAGAACTTATTTTAAATTTTAATTCCTGATTATTTTATTCAATGTGATTTTCTCTCATGTAAATTTTCCAATTCAGGATTGCCTCCCCTTGCTGACCTTCAGACAACTCCCGGAGGGATTCGAACACGAATTTGGGTGGCCTTGACTGTCTTTTTCTTGACCCTTCTCACTCTCTTCCAATCAGTTGCACGTGACGTGACCAAGAAACTTACTACAGGATCAGCCAATGATGGTCAGGGCACTTCTGAACCAACTCTTGATCCAACAAACAGGGACTGTCATCTTCCTTCACCATGTCCAGCAGCACTCACGTATGCAGACCAACTGTCCTTCATGCTAATGAAGTTGGGTGAGCTTGAAGAGAAGGTTGACACACTCCAATCTAAGCCATCTGAGATGCCTAATGAGAAAGAGGAATTGTTGAATGCTGCTGTCTGTCGTGTGGATGCTTTGGAAGCAGAGTTGATTGCTACTAAAAAGGTAGGATGCACTGATATATGTGGCCATTCACTTTCTTTTCCCCCCTTTCCAGGCCAATTGCAGCCATTCTCATTCAAAATGAACTAAAAAATGAGTTATCCATATTCCATGCTACATATTCTCATACTCTATTTCTACATCTGCATTGGAGAATGGTTGATAGAGTGGTTTGATGAGGCATTAGGATTTTACAGCTAATAAATTGAACGGAAACATCCATAAATTTTTGCAAACATTTGAGTTCAGCCAGCTTATTTGAGTTCAGGTAGCAAAGCTGGCATATAAGATATATGGTTTGGTAAGTAAGTTTACTTATTTTATTTCTGGTCTGACTGATGTCCAAGTAAAGCTTAATTGTATGGCTCAGGTTTTCATCACTGTGGATTTCCATTTCCATGCATTTCATGTATTGTTGAATTATTTGAATTGCTTAATTGCCTTGTGCATATGTGAAGAATACATGATGTCCTTAACTTTTTGTCGCCCCACTTGAGCGAGACGCTATCGTTGCATTTACTTGCGTGATTTATTGCACAGGCTCTCTATGAAGCGTTAATAAGGCAAGAGGAACTGCTTGCCTACATTGATCGTCAAGAAGCAGCTAAGTTGCGGGTAAGTTGGCTGAAGTAACTTTCTCTGAACAGTTTGTTAGGGCGTTTTTCAGATTTCTGATTCTGACGTTTGGCATTTCCTTTGCTTTGCTGCTCGGTCACAACAGAGAAGGAAGTTTTGCTGGTGATGAGTCTTGCTGCTGCGAGAGAGACTGCATGGAGGAGGATTTATTTCTAATATCATAGTGATTATAATACTGAACAGAATGTGATTTTTAGAATGGCTTAAACGCTTCCTACGGTGCCGTTTGACTGTATTTAACTCTTTTTGAGGTCTTTCAAAATTCGTTTACAAGACGTTTAAGCTCTATATATGTAAAAGAGAGATTATTTTTTTGCATATTATTTAGGATATATATATATATATATACAACATATAAATTTCAATTGTTTCTTACGATATTTAGGATGTATAGCATACAAGTTGTATATTGTTGTTTTTTTTAATAATTATCCTAAATATAAGTTTTTAAGAACTAGAAATTTGTGTTAAAATAGCGCCTAATATTTTTATTACTGGCGGTGGTTGGCGATAGCTGATGCTTTACAGTCCTCATGACCATTGTAACATCAGTGTGTGTGTGTACTTCAAAGCATACTTTGAACTTAGTAACTTGGATTATATCGCAAGAATGTGGGTAATGTTAACGAATTGGAGAATTCAAGGACTTCGAAACTACTATGGGGATTCTGATGTGTATTTGGAAGAAATTTTGAGGAGATCAATAATCTGTTTGTTTATGTCCAGTGCGTTGTTTTGACTGAAGCAACCCAGAGCCAAGTCGGTCATAAGTCATAAACACGTTCTAGCCTTTCTGGACGCATATACAGGCGTGCGTCATTAACAAATCTGATCTTTGTTGTTAGGCCAATGCATGTGTGACAAAACATGGACGATGATTTTCCTTTGCCGCCTTACCATCTAAAATTTCATTTATGATTCAGTTTCAACAAAGTATTTGATCATTAAATGATTATGCACTATTGTTTCACTATGAAAATTTTTTAAAATAATTTAATAAAATTTTCAAAGGTTTATCCCATAAAAATATTTTAAAAACTAGGCAATTTTAGAATTATCTTTAATGTAATAAAATAGTCTTATTAAATCAAGCGCTAAAGTTTATATTTAATTTTTTAATTTTAAACAAGGTTTTATTTTAATTTCTTAGTTTTATAAATTATCTTTTTAATCATTTAACTCTAATATCGTTAGTTTTATCACAAAAAATTTTTACATTGAATTTTTAAATATAAATAAAATATTTTCAAATATTGATAAATTAAGTTTAATTTTTTTAAAAAAATAACAATGATTGGTAAAAAAATAACAATTTAAAACTAACGGTGTTAAGATTAGATATTTCAAAAGATAGTCTAAAAATTTAAAGGACTAAAAATATATTTTAACCAAAATCAAGACATATGTTTATTAATAAGTTGTGCACTTTCAGGCCACAAACATAAATTCTTTTATGTTGTTTCCCCCATAAATCATTGTAAACTGCCTCCAACCTACTCATTTTATGAATTTGTATAAAGTTCCTCAGCTTGAAATTAATTGCCTGAGGATATTCAAATAGAAGGTTATAATGGAAAAGCATTATAATATATCTATCAAATGATCTCTGCCATTAATTTTAAAGTATTTTTTAAATATTTTTAAAATATAGCTATCAAAATAAAAATATACACTCTCTCTGTCAAAAAATATAAGATATTTTTAATCAAATCTTACCCTTAATAAAGTGATTACCTACTTTCAAACTAACATATCTTTTTATATTTATTTCTATTAAATAACTTAAAATAAATATAAAACCATTCATCAATAGGGGCACTTTTAAAAAAATAATTACATCTCAAAAGACTATAAATACCTTACATTTTTGAAAATACAATTTTTCAAAAAATGCTCTATATTTTTGAATGGAGGGAGTAAAAATTATAATATTAAATATGAATTATTTTTTTTATGCTTATTAGAGGATAAATACCATGGTACTCCCCACCCTTCATAAGATTTGAAGAGTCCAAATTTAAAATTTTTATTTTTATTTTATATTTAATAAAATAAAAATATGTAAAAAATATAGAAATTTTTAATAAATCTATTTATCATCAATTTAGTCAGTACAGATTTAATCTGGATAACCCAATTTAATATAATTTTTTAATAATTTTTATAAATTGATTACTCAGATGAAACCAGTTTCAATGTTGAGAGCTTGTTACTTTTAGACTATTTAGATTTAATTTTCATGGTCTAGATTTGCAATTTTTTAATTGGTGTTGTTTAAATGATTTTTTTTTTGTGGAAAAACTGACAGTTAAGAGAGTATTTTTGTTTTAGGTTCTGCAACCATTAAAATATTTTTTTAAAAAATAAAAAAATAGATCTAAGTATTCATATATATGTTGCACATTGAAATTGGTTTTCTATCGAGATGTATTCTAAACAATACAGATATAATATAGAAGGTTTAATTTAATATTAAAAATTTTATAATTTTAATTAATTGGCCATTTAAATATACTTTAAACAGTCTATATTTAATATTATATTTTTTATTTTGATAAATATAATATAAAAATATTTAAAAAATAATTTTAAATTAATGGTAGAGACCATTTGAGAGAAAATCAAGGGTACGATGCTCATTAGAATTGATAAGTACCAAATGCCGTTTCAGTCCCTAATTCACCAATAGACCTTGTAAAAATCACTTCTTATGAGTTGTATACAAGCGCGCTAGTGCTCGAATGTACAGATATCCAACCACTTACAAAAATTAGATAGAATTTGGATTGATGGATTTAAATTTAAATTTTGAATTTGAAGCTTTATATTTTAATTCTTACGTTTAAAATTCTTTGTTCAGTTAGTTTAAAAAATTTCAAATGAGAGAGAGATGGGTTGAGATTTGAAACTAATATGAAAAATTGAGAATGGCAAGTCTATCACTATTTTTTAATTGACAAGAGAAAAGATACCAAAGTTATAGAAATATCAATAATAAAAATATAAAGAGAATGTGATATTTGAAATAACTAAAACTTTGACTAGGAGATTGAGAAAATTTATATATTTTAGATTTGAAATGGAATCAAATCTAAATTTATAATGTTTTATGTATCTGTGTGAGAGATTTGATTTAAATTTAAATTTATAATTAAAGTTAAAAATATAGGTCAGTTTATATAGATTGACCTAAATTACTTGTTATAAGGGTCATGTCAAGTTAGAAAAATATTGATTCATATAAAAATAATTTTTTTTCTTGTTCGCACCAGATAATCCAAGAGTCAAATGGGTCAATCCTAATGAGTTAGGATTTGTCTGTTTAATTCATATTATTTATTTAAAAATAAAGGAAAATTAAAAAATTAAAAATGAAGGGAGTTTTGATACAAAAACCCTTTGAGAAAAGCAAATTTTGAAATGAATTATGATGAAATTGATCACTCTCATATATTGATGATATATTTCTCATTTAGGTATATTTTTTTAAAAAATTAATAAAAATAAATAAATAAATGGATTATTATATTGACCCATGTAATTCATCAACCATGAAAGTTGGGTTAGGATGGAATTGTTTTCAATTCATATGAGTTAATTCAAATACTATCAATTAGATTATATTCCTACTTCTGTTCTCATTGACCCACGCATATCATGTGTTATCAAGAGTTGCATAACAATCTCCAAATTAAAAATTTTAATGATGTCCTGATTAGGTGTGAGAAATTTTTGCATTTTGACTTAACTAGGGAGAGTATGTCTCCATTTTCTTCCTTTTCCCTCTCATCCCCTTGGATCAAAATTTCAATTGTTCATATTTAAGCTTTGGTAAAATTATTATTTTAATTTTATATAAAGATATATAAATAAATTTGAACCATTAAATTTTAATCTAAATAATTTAAAACTATAATATTTTATTAAAAATGAAATCAAAACAATTAAAAAGTTTGGATCCAGGAGTGAGAGAGAGAAAAGTGAAGAAAATGGAAAGAAGGGAGATGGAGACATCCTATCCCCAACTTAACTAGTTCTACTTTACATGGATGGATTTTGGAATCATCACCTTAGTATTAAGAATATGTGAAAAAGCACAAACCTTGAGAGTATTATCAACTTGAGTGGTGGTATCAAAATATGTTAAAAATATTCACATCACAGAGAACAATGTACGCAAGTTTTTGGACAAAGCAAAGATGTCGAAATACGATGAAGACGGCCAACTCATTCTCAATCCCCAGACGTTTCCTTCAGCTTTACCAGCGGAACTGCATTCCCAAACCCCAAAACAAAAAACAAAATAAAAAGATCAGAATGTTTCGCAAATATTGAAGCAAAAAGCTAATAGAGAGTTACGTACGAGTCTCTTCTTCCTCCTCTTCTTATCAATGGCTGCTTGGAGCTCCCCTTGGCGAGCGAGTGCATTGTCAAGTTCCTATTCCCACGAACCACGCAATGATTCGGTCAGTCTTATCCACCTCATTATTTGCATATAGGGATGATAATGAAACGAGATGGTTTAAAAAACAAATTTCTCTAATCTTTGGTTCTTGTCACTGATAATTTTTATACAATCTGAGTTGAGTACCTTCTTGGCATCATTCAATTGATTCTCTAGAGCACTGACTCTGGCAAGAGCAGCATTCAACATTTCCTCCTTTTCTGGAGGCATGGGAGGCTTGCTTGCGAGAGCATTGACCTTGTCTTCAAGCTCAGCCATGCGCTTCATCAGCAATATGTGGTCGCCGCCGGAAACTGCTGGTGGTGGTGCCGGCAACTGACGGTGCCCTTTTGTCATGGCTCCATCGTCACATGCTGAGTTGCTGCTGTGAAGTGCTGCTTCTGTGAGCTTCCTGGGCATGTTCTTCGTCACCCTGATCAGTGTCAGTATTCCCATTATTAATGTCATGAACCTTCCTACTATTTGACCGCTCAATCTATCACCAGGCTTGGCAGCTAAATAATCTGCAGCTTCAGCAATTCCAGTATCAGAATCTAACAAACCCTAATCAAAAGGCATAGCTGAATGAATTAATTGCATTTTCATGACCAAACAAGCACTGACATAGATGCAAGACGTGTTAAGAACTATAGAACTGTACTTGATACCTTTAGAAATTGCGAGTTTATCTCGTGCTTTTGACCAAGGTGAATCAACAGTTTTGTCCACCATTGGGACAGAGACATCATATCTGTATCCACTCATTTGCTTTGCAATCTGCAATACATAAGGAGAAGAATTCAAAGGAAAATGAAAGTTGACTGCGTAATTGGAAACAGGAGAGTAATTAGTATAAACTCAGAAATCTGTCTCATTGATCCAGTAATGAAACTCGTTTTATTTTTTCTTGGTTTGGGAAAAAAAAAAGATGAGTTTTCCTCACAATGCACATACTTCTGTGTCCTCTGCCATGACAAACTTTACCACTATATCTATGCTGTTTCATTGAACTATCAACAAAAAAGTTTTATAGCAGAAACCATTAGTGAAGTCTAGAAAACTTACTCCTGATTTGGCATGCTCCACCGTTGGTGATAAACATTTTATATTCTTGAAAGAATCGCCACCCTTAATATTGTAGCAATCGGAAAGAAATACAGAGAAGAATGTTTAAGAACAAAGACTTGATTGAGCCGTGAAACTTCAAAAAGATGGGAAAGCGAGTACCTTCTGGTAAACTGATTCGTCCTCATTTATTGTTTTCTCCTCAATACCAGACAAGGCTCTCCTTTGGCATGTCCCCTCGCCATTTTGAACCATCTAATCATCAAAAGAACACACTTTATTCATATCCTATGATGCCATAATATGAAGCCATGAAAACTGGTAAGACATCAGTGAACTACCCTCAAGATTTCTGGGTCATTCCACGGTCCCTTGTCAGAGAGCATGCAACCGCCTTTATCTGCACAAGTACAGGTACCACCCAAGAACTCTGGAAGTTCACTGGTAAATAAGAAGGACGGATAGGTGCTCAGGGCAGAACTATGCAATGCCACAAGATTTAACGCAAGTGAATTTTGTTCTTTTACTCGTGAGTTAGGCAGGTTTAATTTGTGTGCAGATGAGATATTGTATGCTCAATGAGGGAAGGAGAGAAATTGAACCTGGCATCAATGATTTCAAGCAACTTGCTCTGATATTTGTTGCCTAGGACCTGGAAAATTTATCATTAAACTGTCAAGTACCACTGAAATGCCAAACCAAAAGGATACTTTAAAAGAAGCCACTGGCTATTTTTTGGAGGTGAAAGGTTTGAACAGTTAGCAATTGGTTTTAGGTTCAAACATCTGCTTTGTCATATACCAAGGGTGGAGGGGGGGATAGCTTCCAAGAATGGCTTGGGATCAAGGAATACTTACATGGATTTTTGCAGAGGTCTTGGGGTCAAGGAATGACTTCACAGTGTTCCACAAGAGCCTAAATCCAGAGCCCGCATTGATGATGAACATACGGTTCAAGGTCTAAGTGGAAAGAAAGGAAGTTCAATTAATGTATATTGCTACTACGTCATTTACTGTAGGGAGGTATCTAGTGTGATGACATGACAATCTGGACTTGTTTGGTATCATCCTGTCTCCTAATAGATGACTGTGTGATTATAAATGATTCAATATGGCAGACAAAACAAGAGCAAATGTAGCCAAAGGAGTACCTCAGGATAGTTGTCGCCATCAATCTTCTGAAGCCTCTGAATGAGATCCCTTGCAGCTTTGTTGAAATTTTTCAGTCCCTGATCAATCATGCCAGCCAGCAATTTTGTTTTACTTAGCACTATTTGTCATTTGGTGTTATCATCAAGATTCCCCCTAAAATTGATTGATTTTATTTTTAATTTTTTTCAACAGCCATAGAATTTCATACATACCACTCCTTGCACGTCCAAAATAGTTGTACTTTGGTCAATGTGCTTCTTTGCTGCAATTGAACAGGCGGGGAACTTCACAATAAAGGTCCTCTCAAACTCTCTTACGTGATACTTAACATAGCGATCCAATGTTGTCACTTGCAACAGCTTGTTAGGATCAACCTGACCCAGTTTCTCAATATAAACAGGTCTTCCATCCTTATCAACTCCATGATGCCCTTGTGGGTAGTATTTCAAAACATCGTCTAGTTCCTTAAACTCAAAATCCTTGATGGAAAATGTTAAGTTGAGGTTAGGCTCATCAATTAATCAGTGATTATGCAGGAAAACACCAGATAACTGCACAGGAGTTACCTCAATGATAGTGTCAGCACCAAATTCTTTTCTCCATTGAAGCATGTCTGCCCACATTTGCTTTGTTTTCTCAAGGTCAAACCTTCTTGCTTTCAAGAATCTGCATCATCATGTGGTAACTTCATGCCAAGTACAATTTCAACTCCAAAACTTCTACTATAGTGAATGTCACGAATAGTTTATATTATGATACGTAACACGTTCTCTTATACTTAGTGTGTGTCTGGTTTCGTGTTGGAAACCACTAAAACTATGGTATGCAGTTTTCAACGTGAAATTAGACACGCACTTAGTCTTATAATCAGTTAAGAAGCATTTCAACTCAAAAACTTCAAGTTAAAACGACTGCATATGGATAATTTTGATTATGACAAGGGGTACCGTAGCATCATATGATGATCGTCGTGTTTGGCAGGCAATAGTTCTTCCAAAATGAGCGTTTGGCGAAAAGCATCAACTGCCTGCAACTCTTCTGCATCAAGGTCATCCTCAATTGACAGAGACATAACCCTGCTGTGCCTGCGACCCCTCTTTGTGAAGGAACTCTTGAACTTGTTTGAAGCACTGATTGCCACCTTCTTTATAGCTCCAACCCTTTTCTTCCTTTCTTCCTCCGAATATTCATTTTCAACACCTATATTAGGATTAGGATGAAGAAAAAGGCTTAGTTGAAAACGTTTAACTATAACATGATATAAAGACTGATACTGCTTATATGTGACCATGATCTTCTTCCTTGCACTGCTGTTGTGGCTACTAACACCACAAATCCTAGTTACCATATTCTTATTTCAGTTTTAGGGATCTTTCTGATTTGTCATCAACCAAATAATTGTCTTGAGAAATGTCATTGATTGCTCAGAGACCAGCATAACTCCAAATCCCATGGCTGTAAATACTCTTATGAAAAAATTCTACTGCAGTTTATAGTGTTTATTCTCAGGTTCTTCGATCAAATTATGATTCGTAAAACCCTTTTTCAGGACTCTATAACTTATATATTATTAATAAACCTGTCAACAAATTATCTAGGGGTATGGTATCTTCATTTGGAAGAGTGATGCATCTCAATATATATATATATATATATATATTTTATCTACGTGTGACCTTTGACGTGCAGGTAGATTCTTATGCTTTCATTTTTCTCTGTCTCACACCTTCATGGTTATGGAGCATGCAAAATATTGAGTATTTCATATTACATTGCAGCCTATGAACATAAAGATTCCAGACAAAAGATGATGCAGACGAAAAACAGCAATGCATAAAGGGAAATATAAAATTTCTGCAACAACATAGTCTTACCCAATTTAAGAGGTTCAGGCATCAAAGTAGTCTCACACATGATTAGAATCTTGGAAGCTTAATGACTCAGGTGAGCAGAGATAGCCCTTAGGCAAAAAGGATCAAGCGCTCACATACACCGAATGTGCCCAATATCTGAGCCCTTGCCTATTTGCCTACACCTATGTTCATCAACAAACACGTAAGAAACAAGAAAAAACAAACCCAGAAATCGCTAAAAAGATATAATAACAATGGAGGTTCGTAAAGTTCAGAAAGAAGAAGAAGAAGAAGATGATGATGATGATGATGATGATACCTTTAGACAGAAATGTAGGGGGGTCTGGAAGAAAATAACAATAAGCAAAAGCAAATTTAATCACCCGAGAAAATCTCCGGGGGCATGGTACAGCTCAATTTAGAGTTTTGCTAAATAGGATTATTATTATTATAATAATTATTATTATTTTCCCTTTTGGATTATTTTGTTGACGGGGTCTTGGAAAATATGAACTTGTTCAGTTTTTCAGCTTCTGTTTGCTACAACGGGAAACACACACATACACATTGTGATGGCGAAATGCGAGCCACTCCGTCCATTTTGTTCTGCTTGGGGGCAAAATAAGAACAAGTTGCAGAAATCCAAGATTGCCTCTAAGATTCTTTTATTCGAAATATACAAAAAGGTTTGTTTGTTTTTCCTATTTATGGATTATATGTCTGGGAATAATGAACTTGATTGTATTGAGGAGCAGAGCACCATGTCTGATGATTGTGTAAGGTGACGTGTTAATAACAGCTTAAATTATTGGTTTGCCTACAAGGACTGAGCTGGAAGAAGTAGAAGTCAACACTAGCAACGCCGTGTTATGGAGCTCCACTAAGTTTACGTTCATGGCAGCCTGCTCTTGGACTCATGAAACATGAAGTGTTGTCCCAACTTTTCCTGAAATACGAAGGAGACAAGCGAATAAATATCATCTCTGTTGAGCCATTTTAATTTTAGGCTCACCACCCTTGAGTGGAATGAGTTTCAAATGGCAATGAGCAAATATGAATAAATAAACATTGCGTTCAATTTATCAGATATTGTAGCCAGGTAGATTATAACGCGCCAAATATATAATAGCAAGAGATTGAATTTGATTTCTCACCATGTTGGTATGGATGCATAAAATAATAGAGATCTTGCAGTTAATGATTGGAATAGCTAGGAAATTTAAAAAGTTTTATTTTTTGGGAGAGGAGTCTTTTTATTTTTTCTCTTCACTTTCCTCATCCTCACTATTCATTAATTTTATCATTTAAAAAAATTGTTTAATAAAAATAATTTGAATGGTAGGGATGGGAAAAGTAGAGAGAAATGAAGAAAAAAAAGTGAAATAACCCCTCTTTCTTGTTTTTGGAAGAGGAGTTTTTCTATTTTTTTCCCTCCATTTTTTTCTCATATGCTATGCGCTTCAAATTATGGATTAAATCTATTTTATTTATATTAAAGTTCAGGCTAATTTCATTTAAGTTCAGTATGACCTTTTTAAATGGCAAGCTCTATCATTAAATATTTAATGTGATTGCATTTTCAAATTCAAACTTGAGAAAATTAAGTTTGTACAACTCTATCTTAAAAATTGAATTCTAGAAATTTAGTTTATTTACTTATTTCACATTTATTTTATAAGGTGTTCTAAAAATCGTTTTTCAATCTCTATTAGTTGTCTTTCAATAGTCACATGGTAAGCAAGTGTTCCATTCAACGTGCATTAAAAAAAAAACTAAAATTGCGATATCATTGGGTGCCTGTGGTCTTCCCGCCGTTTTTGGCGTAGGCGTAGAATAACACTAAATTACTCTCGTGGGGCCCGGGTTTGCTTTTACTTGTATAATTGTATTAATGTCACGTACCTAAAATTTTTAATTCTCTACTCTTTCTTCGACTCCCGAAAGCACCCTCAATTTTCGGCCACGGAAAAGAGAAGCACCCTCAATAATACCGTATAATTACAAAACTAGCACTCCCAAGTCCCAGCTCCCGAATGACATTTACAAAAAATTACGATAAAATCATACCAAAAAAAAAAAAAGAAAGAAAAAGACAGCAGTAAAATAATTAAATGATCCAAATCATGTGCATGCACTAATATAGCAATATATAAGAAATATTTTAATAAATTATGATTTTTATATAATTTGATCCTCATGATTTACATAAATAAAAGACATTATTTAAATGTCCTTTTTCACCAAAAAATGACTTATTTTTTAATTTAAAATGAGATCAGTTTTTTAGTCTAACAATAAAATAGTTATTTTTTAGTCAAATTAAAACATAAAATTATGATTCTATTTTAATATGACAGTGCAAAAAATAGTGCAATGAAAGTAACAAAAAATACTTTGGACATAAGCGGAATAAATTTTTGAGAAACATGTGGCCTTTATAGAAAAGACAGAAGAAGATCAAGTTACAATGATAAAATACATTTATATTAATAGTAGTGCAATAAAGTTTATAAGTTAAAATATATAAAATTTTATAAATTTTAAGACAATTATACATTACCTTTTTCAACTTTAAATGTTTAAAATTATATTCCTTAACTTTTAATTTTATTTTTTAAAGGCCTCTACTGTTAATTAACATTGTTAGGTTATTAATAGAGTTCACCATGCTAGATTTAAAAAACCATATGTAAACTTACATGGTATTTTATGTGAGCAAATAGTAAATGCATAAAAATTACACTATTTTTAAATATTTATTTTTGTATTAGTTTTATCCTTTTTTTAATTATGGTTGGTGCATGTTTTCTTTTGTTAAAGGATGAATTTTTATTTATATAATTCCTATCAATTATAATTCTTAGATTTTTTTTCATTTGTTTAATACAAAAGGCTGTTTTAATTGAGAAATAATGATAAAATTATAGTTTTTATCTTAAATTATGTTAACAGTGAATAATGAGAACAAAGTTGCTCAATTAAAAAAATGATAGTATCATCATGTGTGTTAATTAAAGTAAAAATTATAGTTTTTCTGTCCTTAAATTGTGTTAGAAATTAATAAATATTTTCTCTATATGTGTATTTTATTAATCTGACATAAAATTTTTTATTAATAATATAACAGAATTAATTAATGGTAAGGGCTTTTGAAAACAAAATTAAATGTTGAAAAGTAAGTGGTATCATATGCCATTACCTCAAAATTTAAGAGATTTTATATATTTTATCTAAATTTGTATTACCCACTGACAGTATATTTTATAGGTAACCAGATTTCATTAACAATTTAGACAATCTTAAAAATGAACATCGAGTTAATTTTTGAAAAGTATGTTGAATAAAGTTGATGAAACAATGGGGAGACAAAATTGAAACTATGCTTAAAATTAAAATTGAAAGAATGAAAACTATGTTACTGTTGATAAAAAAAAAAGGGAATTCCGCGCCTGGTGTTATTTTGGGGTGGGTGACGATTTTATTGCGAAAACTTATTTTCTTAATGGCTTTTATTGTTGTAAAAAAAATCATAAATGGTCAAGATAATGCACTGACATGCAGTTATGCAACAATTTGGAGTGACAGAAGTAGGGGCATATTCGGAAAATTACAAGTACGCACTTACTATACGTAAGCGTATACGTATAGTATACTCAAGACCGAGCGAGACTCGTATGGCATACCATACTTTGCTTTTCACTTGGCGGCATTCCGCGTCAACCGTGGTTTCTCTTTTTCGATTACCTTTTTTTCACCGCAAAGAAGAGAGGGAAAAAAATCAAAACGTGAGAAGGAAATCGTTTTTTCCCCATTCTCCCTCTCGCGCTTTCTCACTCACTCTTTTGAGTATTTTCTCCATTTTCGATCCCTGCCCATTGCCCCAGACTCTCACAAGTTTTATTTTATTTTATTTTTTTTGTTCGTTCTGTTTCTGTTCTTGTGAGTGGATAAAGCTTGGAATTTTGCAGAAGGTTTTTTGGGTCAGAGTCCTTCCTACCTTCTGTGTTTCGGTCTGATATCAGTGTGTACCTTCATCTTCCTTTTCACGTTTGGTGCTTTGCTGTTTATTTTGGCTGGTTGATCTGTCTTTCTTTGCTTCCACATTTCTGTGACTACTGATGGTGATTATTTGTCATCCGCATGGTTGTTTGGGTTTTAAATCTATTGCATGTGTTGTATTTATGAGTTCCAATCTTCTACACAATGTTTATATATGGCCCATGAATTGGTAGAACTATTGATGAATTAGTTTCAAAATCGAGGTCTCAAGTAATTTTCCCCTCATCTTTCGGGATTCTTTGATTCATATGTTTTCCTTTGATGGATTTTGATTCAAGGAGCGTCAGTGCGATTGACTTTCGTTGACGGGTCTCATGCTATAGTGATGTATTTTTTTTTTTTTATGTGACTTGAAGTCAATAGGCGGATTCCGGAAAACTTTCTTGTCTATGAGCTTGACGACTCAAACTTTATTGTCTTGGAATCATTTCTAGGTCTGTAGTGTAGACGAACGATATATAAATGAGGAAAAAAAAATTCCATGCAGATAGGAAAAATCGGAGAGAACATATTTAATTTGTTGTGAAGCCATATGATAGTCAGATGGTCATTGTTTTGCATGGTTATGTAACTCTGTCAGTTTACACCTTAACTACAGAGATGTCCTCTGGAAAATGTGGATTGTGCTTGCCAAGAAGTCATCTTTTTAAGCGTCTTGTAATTTTAGGCGGCCTCGAAAAGGGCCTTGAAATGTTAGATCTTATAAAATTGTTTGTTTTATATTCCTTTTGTAATCTTTATCCTTGAAGTTTATTACGCACTTCATCCATTTCATCCTGTACTGCTTTTGTTTATGAATGATGATGAGTCTGAAGTATGAATCTATTTTTTTTTTGGTACCAGGTTCCACTCAACTTACAAAGGAATTGGTTGCAGTATTTTTTTATTCAGACTGCATCTTTAAATATTTCTCGTCTTTTGAATTATATAATGGCCAATGATTCTGCTGCAATGTCCAACGGCAATGCCAATTCACATCCTAATCCACAGAGGAATTACCAAGTGGTTGTAGCTGCAACCCAGGATATGGGTATTGGTAAGGATGGGAAACTACCCTGGAGACTGCCTGCTGATCTCAAGTTTTTTAAGGAGATCACTTCAATGACATCTGATTCTGGGAAGAAGAATGCAGTGATAATGGGTAGAAAAACATGGGAGAGTATCTCTCTTGAGTACCGCCCTCTTCCTGGACGCCTTAATGTTGTTCTCACTCGCTCGGGAAGCTTTGACATTGCAACTGTGGAGAATGTTGTTATATGTGGAAGCATGTCTTCTGCTTTGGAATTGTTGGCTTCTTCTCCTTACTGTCTATCAATTGAGAAAGTATTTGTTATAGGAGGTGGCCAAATATTTAGGTATATACTATTTTATTTAAATCTTTTCCACTTCACTTTGAAAAAAAAAAAAGGCCTTTCCCCAACTCCTATGCCATCTTTGCTTTCATAATAATTTTTCTTATAGCTTTTAATTTGTATGTGCAGAGAGGCTCTAAGTGCACCTGCATGTGAAGCTATCCACATTACTGAGATCGAGACAAAAATTGACTGTGATACTTTCATGCCTCCAATTGATTCCTCTGTATTTCAGCCATGGTACTCTTCCTTTCCTAGGGTGGAGAACAACATCCGCTATTGTTTTACCACATATGTACGAGTAAGGAGTTCTAAAGCAGAATCCCTGAGTCAGAATTCTGATCAACTTTGCGATACTAGATCAGATTCCTCAAAATTTGAGGTCAAGAACTTCTCTTTCCTTCCTAAAATGATTTTTGAGAGACATGAGGAGAATATTTATCTCAATCTGGTCCAAGATATCATCTCTGAAGGCACTGCTAAGGATGATAGGACTGGGACTGGCACCTTCTCAAAATTTGGTTGCCAGGTAACATCATGGTTGGTTTGTTGAGTGATGGTTGTCATTTATATGATGGCTTATTATCTCTATATATCTACAGATGAGGTTTAATTTGCGCAGGACCTTTCCCCTTTTAACTACTAAGGTATGCAGATATAGTGGTTAAGATATCTGTAAATTTAATTTACTTTTTCTTTTTTGCAATGGTTTTGATTCAACTAGTGTTTTGTTTGTTTTAATTTCATTGGTGGATTTTTGGGAAAGAAATATTTATTGTATGCTTTGATGTAGAAGTTGACATGGTTTCTTCATTTGTTTCCTAGAAAGTATTTTGGCGCGGGGTTGTTGAAGAGCTTCTTTGGTTTATAAGTGGTTCAACAAATGCCAAGGTAATAACATTATTTTCAAAATACATATACATGTACATATGTGCACGGAGTGCTGCATTTTTCCTAGTTACCTTGTCGAGGAGCTGAGATGAGCCTAAGTAATCGAAGCTTGCCTTACTTGATATTATTTGAGCTTGGATTCAAATAGAGATTCAGTTATTAGAAGGTTGTCTAAGTCATCTGACAATCTCAGCACTAATTCTTATTCCAATCAAAAGTGTGTTGTGTGTTGAATCCTTGCTAATCTATGTACAGATGAATAAATTCCCTTTATGACTAATAAGATTTTCAAAGTTAGTTGGCTTACTTTTGAAGAGATAAAATGGAGCCTTGTTAACTTAGTTTACTCTCCCCCTGGGATAAAATTTGAGGCTATGCTAATTCCTTCCATGTGTTAATGTAAAAGGCACAACATATATTGATATGTTTCACAAACTCAAGAGTTGAGTTTGGTGAAGCTTTTGCTCTGCTCTTTGGTGATTAAAAAGTTAAGGTGCTGTGAAATCATGAGCTGATAGTTCATATCTACTACAGCTTTTACCATTTCTACTGTCTACCTGCATAAGCTGTGTCAAAATGTGATTAAATAACTTGGCAGTTTATAAGGAAATTCATGGGGTCGTATTTATATTCTAGCATAGAGAAAGGAATCTTTTCTATTGCTATAGAAAATGGTTTAATATTTGTTTCTGCTTGTTCCAATGCTTGCCATTATTGAGACCATGAAGGCATGAAGATATATAACTATACAGAACTTTCAATGTAAATCGTTCATTTATTGAGACTCTGTACTTTTCGGTTGATGAACTCCATTATTGAAACGTGTTGTTGACAGGTGCTGCAGAAAAAGGGCATCCATATATGGGATGGCAATGCATCCAGAGAATACCTTGATAGGCAAGGCTTGACTATCAGCTTTTGTCTGTAGAGATAATACTTTATAGTTTTGACGTAGTTACTGTTTATCTTGTAACTTGCAGTGTTGGATTGGCAGAAAGGGAGGAGGGTGACTTGGGACCTGTTTATGGGTTTCAGTGGAGGCACTTCGGTGCCAAGTAGGTGGATCGTAATTTTTTTTTTCTCAGTAAATATATTGTTTCACTTGGGATCTTTTGGTTCAATTTGTCCATGTATCATCTTATAGGTATACTGACATGCATGCTGATTACTCTGGCAAAGGATTTGATCAGCTTTTAGATGTTGTTAACAAGATAAAGCATAATCCTGATGATCGGCGGATTATTCTCTCAGCTTGGAATCCGGTAGATCTTAAATTGATGGCCCTTCCACCCTGCCACATGTTTGCACAGGTCTACACTTGTCTTAGAAACAAAGTGACTCTGAACCTCTCCATGCCCCTCTCTTTCTAAGATTTTTGTATCTTCTTTGCAGTTCTATGTAGCAAATGGGGAGTTATCTTGTCAAATGTATCAGCGATCTGCAGACGTGGGCCTGGGCGTGCCCTTTAATATTGCATCTTATGCTCTCCTGACATGCATGATTGCTCATGTTTGTGGTATGCCAATTTTGCAAGCATTTTCTTAACTGGTTAGGATTTAGATGTGTAGTCAAGATATACGATTCATTTTAAACTTGAAGGTTTTCTGGGTTTATTAATAAATGTTTTTTTTTTGCCATTTTCTTTCGTTGTAATGTCAAGTTATATGGGTTTCTTTAGCATTTTTAGTTGAGCAGGTTTTGGTTGGAAGTCCACTGTCACTGCTAAAGGTTCAGAAATTTATTGAGAAGGAAAAAGAACTTAAAGAATTAAGAAGAATTGGCATCACTTAATTGACAGTTTATATTGCCATCCCCTTTTCTCTCAGAGCTTGTTCCAGGCGATTTTGTTCATGTTATTGGGGATGCACACATTTACCGCAATCACGTGAGACCTTTGCAGGAGCAGCTCCGGAACCTTCCTAAACCCTTTCCGGTATGTTTGTTATGTTCAGGAGGCAATTTGATTGGACATAGCTGACTAAAAATGCTGACAGCATTTGCAAACACTACTCTAATTTTAACTGTCCTTTCTTCTCCCTGATTACCTTTATTGCAATGCAGATTTTGAAGATAAATCCAAAAAAGGACATAGATTCTTTTGTGGCTTCTGATTTCAAGCTTATAGGTTATGATCCTTACCAGAAAATAGAAATGAAGATGGCTGTGTAATCATCTAGGAGATTAATTCTCAATCCCTTCTTCAGGCTGCCCATGCTTTTTGAACTGAGGCGAGTTTTCCTACCAAGTCTCCTTTAATAATATATATATATATATATATATTGGGATTTAGATTACACTGATGATGTATTTTGCTTCAGGCGACGATGATACGAGGTTTTTATGTACTAATAAAGAGATGTACTAGTCGAAGTAGGAGCTTGGTATAGGTTGTTTTGTTTGTGGACACTATTTAGTTCCGTATGTATGGTTTGGTGGGTCCTAAGGTGATTTAGGTGAGCCGCATTGTCTCTTCCTTCCAATGTTTTTATCGGTCATCTGCTGTTTTGACTGTAACACACTCAGACACATTTGACACGTCCCAAACTTGAAATTTGAGATTATAGCTCTTCCTTAAGTTATTATTTGAATATTTGCTTTCCTACTTGGTTTGTCAGAGTAGGTGTTTCTTACATGTTAATATAAAAAATAAAGTAAGAAAAATTATTTTGAGAATGAAAGAAATATTTCTTTGAAAAGAATAGAGCAGATTGGTATGGAATACACGGAACTATGGTTGACTTTGTGATATTTTAATTGTATTGAGGGGCATCTAAACATGATTTTTCAAATTTAAACTTCCACACAGTCGAGCTTTTACCCAGTCAAATATAGCTCACACATAGATATAGAAAACTCAGAAGTTAGCTGGAGTCATCGCAGTAACAAAGCACTGGTGCTTAGACTAGTGCTTTATCTTATAGATGTAGTAGCTAGTTCAGAATGAACTTCCAAATTCACGATTCATGCACTCTCTCTCATATAGAATATGCTGAGTTAATTGACAAACTTGAGATGGTTTATTCTCAATCTCATGCATTAGTTTGACGCTTGGTGAGGGAAACGACAAGATTGTTGTACACGAGGTCGTTGAGCTGCATGAGGTGGACAAGCTTGTTCGTGAATCTGAGGAACAAGTCGTCCATGGTTATTGCTTCCCCAAACTGCGTCTTCAGAAGAGGTTCCGTGACGGCTCTGATGTACTGTGCTACGAACTTGGCTTTCATGGCCACGCCATCTTCAATGTTGTTGCTGCCCTCATTGCTCTCATTCATATCAGCATCCCAACCCAGTTTGCTAAACTCGACCCTTTCCACACTGAACGATCCTTCGTCTTCAATGATCTCCCTCACTTCCTTCTCTGTTGGACCATAGTACGGAATATCAAAGTTGTCTAGTTTTGCCTCCTCAACTTTCCCCTGCGACATCATTAATCACTCACCCCACAATTGAAACTCTCCAGAAAAATTCCTGAATATTAAATCGAGTTCCATAATCCCCCCCCCCGGGGAAAAAAACAAAAGAAGAACATTTTGTAGAAGCCGTGTTGGGTTCAAAATATAAGACATTTGTTAGTTCTTGCAATCCAACTGTTATCTGTGGCCTTATTTGTAAGTTGCTTTTGGTATTTTTATTGAAATAAAAAAAACTTCAAATTTCATTAATTGTTTAAAAATTCATTAACTTTCCAACTTTACTTTTATTATACATACACTAAAAATAAGGAAAAATTACGTATAGTTTTCGTAGAGCAAATTTATTTATCAATAAGTTTCGCAAAATTTGAGAACTACAACAAAGTCTCTTAAAATTTAAGTATAATTTAAAATTAGGTGAAAAAGATAATAATACTCTTATTAAACATAGATTATATCAATCAAATAATTAATTTATAACTATTTTATCAGCAATTTACAATTATAATTTTAACTTTTTATAACTATAACTTTATATATATAATAGTTAAACAATCATGCGTTAATTGTTTATAATTATTTTATCAGTAATTTATAACTATAATTTAAACTTTTTACAACTGTAATTTTACATATTTAATAGTTAAACTGATCAGTTTAATTACTTGATGTATGAAGTTACGATTGTAAAAAGTAGAAGTTATAGTTATAAAATTTTAATGAAGTAGTTGTAAATTATTTGACCGATCTAATATATGTATATATATATATATATATATATTTAATAGAGGCATTATTATCTTTTTATTTTAATTTTAAATTACACTCAGGTTTCAAGAAATTTAGTTGTGGTTTTTGAATTTCATGAGACTTTTTTTTATAAATAAGTTTATTCGATGAGACTTATATATAATTTTTCCTAAAAATAAAATAATCTACCATGTAATATCCTTTTCAACATTTAATAGGAATAAAAAAGGTAAATGCACACAATAATAATTGAATGCCTTATAAATAGGATCAAAATAAATATTCTCTCTTTATCGTATAAATATGACCAAAGGAGTATACCTTTATTTTATTACCAACTCTATTGCAAATTATGATATACTTTTGAGAAAGATTTGCCATTCTAAAATATAAGTTACTTTGACAAAAATAAGATTTCATTAATAATATTTTTTAATATTATTTTTATTATTATATTGTCTCTCTTTAATAGTATTCCATAAATGAAGTATTAAATGAAGGACATTTTTAAAATTTTATACTTTTGTTTTAAACAAATAAAGTTGTAAAGTATATTTAATGAGTTTTATTAGTATATATAATTTTATTTAAAAGTATCTTATAATTTAGGATAGAAAGAGTATTCATTTAAAAAAATCATCTATTAAAATTTTAATTATCATCATTAAAGTAGTTATGCGAGGCATTTAACAGAGATACAATTGGGAAGATGTATACATTTTTTTCTAAAATATTAAGGTTTTAACTCACTTTCTTTTAGAACCTTGATATAGTTATCAATGTCCCTATATTGTGGGTCAATTTTATATATAAGTCACTTTTAACTATTTTACTAAAACTAAAAAGAAACACCCTTTGCATTAAAATATGTAAGAAATTTTTTACTGAATCTTATTTTTCAATAAATTAGTTAATTAGTATTTTTAAGTTAACATTATCTTTTTATATTTGCCATTATTCAATATGATATTTTGCTTAAAAATAAATATAAAATAATTTATTTATTAAGAGAATTTTTGGGGAAAAAAACACATTATCTATATATTAAAATATTAAAAATGTCTTATATTTTTAAATGGATAGGATAGTTAAATTACTCATGTTGTCTAAAAATTAAAAAAAATCTTGATTTATCCTTATTAAATACATTATCTTTAAAAATATAATATTTTCTCTCATTTGTGTAACTCTTTTACTTTGAGAAAATTGTAAGAGGATAAAATCTAAACAAATTAATTAACGATAACATTTTTATGCAAAATAACTTGTAAAAATAACCATTAACTTTTGAAGTATGTATATTTAATAAAGTTTAAGTTGAAAATTTATTAAATTTTTAATAAAATTAATAAAATTTAATTAAAAATTTTTTTAATTATATTAAAATATGTTGGGAACGAGTTATTAATAGAGGGGAGACAGAGAGAGTATGTACGCGCGTGCGCGTTTGTGTAAAATCAGGGAAAGTGTATCGAAACAACGCTTACCTCTAAGACCATGTCATGCAGGACCTTTCCGACCAGGTTGAAAGTAGTTGATGGATTTTCGTCCTCTAGTCTGCCACGAAACGTGAGAACCATACCCCCACCTCGTACCAATTCCACTGAACGAAATTTCAGAAACAGTTTGAAATCCTCTCGGAACTGCTCACAATATGCTCTCCGCACTGCAGGTGGGCTTGTATCTGTTATATAAATGTCTCCCTTGTTCAATGCTGTGCCTCCATTGCTAGTCAAACCCTTCGGGACCTGTTCATTGAATCCATAACATCCTTAATCCGCACAAGAAGTCAATGCTGGATTCAATGTTCTGAACACCCTGGATCGAAGCATATGCATGCAGAGCAGAACAAGTGCATTAGTTTATAATTAATGTAAGCATGTATGCTGACCTGAGAGAGCCAGTGGACGCTGAAAGAGGAATGAAAGAAGTGGATCGAACTGTCTGGGAAAAGCCTTTCATAGAAGCTCCCAGGAACCCCGACAATGAAGCCAGGTCCAAAGTTGTCTCCCTTGTCCTGTCGAAGCTTGCTGTAGAACTCAGGAAGAGACTGGAAGATGGTGTTGAAATCATTTCCGGGAAGATCATTCAGGAAAATCTGGAAAGCCGGTGCCTTCAGTTCTAAGCTCAAGCTCACTGCATGAATAATTCCCATGATTTCAGACGCCGTCATCAACGTGTTAGGCCCTGAAGAGCATCCCAAGTCTACAACGTTCAGACAATCTGGTTGAATGTGTCTGTAAACTCTCGTGATGTTCTCTTTCAGAATAGGCTTCGCTTTCAGGATCACCTTTCTCTGCATGAATATAATTAGTTAACAATGAAGCTATATTTTTGTCCTAACATGGATAATGCAGTGTTCTTTGTTGAACTTCTGGGAAAAGAGAACCAGGGAGATGATTATATGAACCTGAAGCAAGGAGTTGTTTGCATAGCTTGTTTCTCCAAAACCGCCATTCATGTGAAGCAGTTTATTTGTTGCCATTGACGCGAGACTGAGAGTTTGGTGGACCTCCTGAAAGATTAAATAGGCTAGTTAGATAGTTCCTGCTATCTCATGTGTCCTATTTATAAGCAGAAGAATTTTTTTGTACTCTAACTGGTTAAATTTTCATCACAAATTTTCATGTTTACCCTAATTAAATCTTAGGGAGCAAAAATACGAATTCTCTCTGTCTCAAATTATAAGACATTTTTAAATAAAATCTCACATACCAATAAATCTCATTAAATACACTTAACAACCTTATCTTTTTAAAATAAAAATATAAACTTCTAAAAATACTCATAATCTAATATATTAAAAAGAGAAAGGATAAAAATTAATTATAGAGAGAGAATGGTTAATATTAAAATTGATATATTTAATGAAATATTAATCTATTCAAATTATCTTATATTTTGAGAACGAGAAACTCCTTCAAAAATACTTTATAATTTGGGACAGAAGGAATATCAAATTATGTATATTTAATAGAAATAAAATTAAAAATTTCTTAAAATTTTAGATAAAATTAATGAGTTTTAAAATTTTTTTTATTCTAATAAAATACTCCCTCCATTCCAAATTGAGAAAAGATTATACATTATTAATAAAATATAATGATGACACTTTATCAATGTACTCTTTTAAAACAATTATAAACTTTTAAAAATGCATTTATATAATTAATCATTAATTATGATATTATTTTAATTTTCTCTCCACTTAACGAGTAATATTGAAAAAATATCACTGATAAAATCTTAATTTTTTTAAATTATCTTATATTTTAAGATAATTTTTTTTCTAATATTATCTTAAAAATAATTTGGTAGGGGAGAATTATATTAAAAATGATTTATAAATGAAGTTGATAGAATATTTTTCATTAATTTCAGAAAATTCGACTCAAACTTCCATAAAGGCTGATGGATGTTCAGAGTGAAAGAGCTCCAGCCATGAGAGGACATGAGAGAAGCAGTTTCCTTACCGGTCCGCATTCGGTGCCTGTAGGAACCTTGGACTTTGGAGTATTCCCCAACCATCTCCAGAAATCAAGAAAATGATGGAACAGTTCCCTGTGATACCTGTTACGGAGGAGGAATTTAATTATTTGAAGAATGGCGCAGGCCGTGGAAGCATGCTCTGGCAGTCACCATCGTCGGTCTCCGACTAAACCTTAGCCGAATGAAGCTTTGGCTGTCAAAAATGTGGAACATTCCTGAGTTTGATGGGTCCGTATTAGAGGGAATAGGAAAATGAGGTGGTGCAGCCCGAGATTGAAATGCTAATTGAATAGGTGGTTTTAATGTTTGTGTTGGAAATTATCCGGTTGCTGTGGCTAAGTTTCTAAAAATTATTTATGGCTTTTAATTATGTTGGGATATGAGATTGTAAAAAGTCAAAATGTTTACGGATTGTAAAGATGCGATGAATCTACTCCTCAAATTCAGCCATGATTTTCATCCCTATGTAACATCCTGATTTTTTTTATAATAAAGAAATTATAAAATTTAGGTTTTGAGAAAAAAAAAATAATAATAGAAATTTATATTATTTGAGGTTATTTAGAAATAATATTATGATTAGGTATTTAATTATAAATTTAAAAATTTAAATTTAAAACCACATAAGCAATATTTAGTTAAGATATAATACATAAATAATTTTTTTATGTGTGTGTTAAAAAAAAAAGAGAAGTTAGAAGGAACAAAAAAAAAGGAGGTGAAAGGTTGTTGTTTCTAAGTCCCACATTGGTTAGATGAGGGAAGAGAAGAGGTGCCTTCATGTATAAAAAGGAGGGGGTGTGCGCATTAAGAAACATGAGAGGCTAAGATGCAATTTAGAGGAAATTGTAACTTTTGGCCCAAAGGTTTGAATAATTAAATTCAAACCTATAGTTTTTTTTAATATAATTTTGGGACTCACAATCTCATTTTTATATTATTTTTCTCTCTTCCTCTCACGTTGCTCGGCGTTTTCTCGCAAGGGGGGATTATTTTTTTTTTTCAGGTATGTTCTAACTTTCCTGTTTAGATTAGCATTTAAAAATTTATTTAATTACAAAATTAATTTTATAGTTATTTTCTAAATAATATTAGCTTTCTAGTGATATGATTATTTTGTAGGATAGAGTAAATATTTTGATTAAGATTTTTCTATAGGATAGTTAATCTGATGATATGATGGATTAAAAATATAGGTTAAAACTCTTAGGGATATAATAAATATTATAGAATATTTTCTTGAGGTTGAAACTCATGTTTAAGAATTTTTGACTTAAAATCTAGATCTATATGGTTGAATTTATGTGGAATCTGAGATGTAGGGATAAACCTATGATTATTAAATATTTATTTAAGTATGAATAGGTATTTTTGAGGTTATAGAAAGGTGATTTGAGGTTTCAGGATAATTTTAAAATTTAATTTATTTTTGAACGAATTTTTAGAATATAAAAGGATGAAATTGTGATACTAGAAGTGATTTGAGGATAAAAAAAATAGTTTATTAGGGTACGAGAATTTTAGAAAAGAATTTGGAAAGTTAAATGAGGCATAAATCTTAAATTAGTGTTAATATGAATTATAGATCTAAGACTTTCTAACTATTTAAATTAGAGTTATTTATTTTAATGTAAAATTAATATATAGTATTGTGAAATAATTATGTAGATTATATTGACAAAGATAGTGATGAAAAAGGAGTTGTGAAGGGAAACTTGTTATTCAAGACACAAGGTAACCATTATTAATGTGTTGTGATGAGTGTGTTTGTGAATGGTTATGTGTTGTTTTGTTGTTTGAAAAAAATTATGAATTATTGAAAATAAATACTGTATATACTTGTTTGAAATTATTGCCAAGTGGGTTAAAAATTTATTTTTGTTTATCATGATGAGATATTATTGTTCGGATATATTCTTGTTTGGATATTTGAATGATGCATGACTTGTCAGGGTATTTTAATGTATGGTGTTAATGGGAATTTCTGTTCGGTTAATTATTACCACGTGGTAAGCCCTCATTAGACCCAATGAGTGGCGTGTCGCTTGGTCCAACTCACCTTTGGTCGAGTGATTTGGCGTCCGAGCATGGTGAAAGGAGGATATAAGGTGCAGTCATGCAATTAAATACTTGTTCGGTTTGTTTGAAAATATTGTTCGGTTAAATGTTTTGTATGCCCACTTAGCAATCGCATGATTAGTTACATCCGCATGCATCATTACATATTAATTTTTGGTTACTGGGACTTTTAAGTCTCATTCCCCGTGGTTAATATTTTTACAGGAGCGAATCCGGCCGAGAAAGCACCAGAGGTGTAATTATGGTGTATGAGACACCATCTTTTATGTTGCCTCTTATTTTGGATTATACAATGTATCTTGTGCCAACTTAGGACATATCTTGTCTATGGAGCATGTAAACTCTAATCCTTTTTATTAAATGCATTTATATGTCCAAGAGGATTATGTCTGTCCCTTTTGATTCATGACCTAATTTAAATAACATGTTATGAGGATCATGTCTGTCCCTCATGGTTCTAATTGCTTTTTGAGATATTTTAAGACCTGTGGTATATTGTCTTGAATGTATCATGGTAGAAATTTTTCTACCATGATAAGGGTTCAATGAAAAAAAAAGAAAAAAATAATTTCTTGAATTAATAATTTGTGAAAAATCGGTTTGTAAATTTGAGGGTGTTACAGGTATTATTATTCAAGCTCAATCCTCTTTTTATAAAGATTGAGATATATCTATGGATCTTATGTTTAAAAAACCAAATTTTTGTATTCATTTTTTGGTTAAATTTGTTCGGGACAGAGTAAAAGAGTATTTATCTTTTAATCAATCCTCACTTTTTTGTTTGAAGGTGGTGGATGATAATAAAGAATCTTCTTTTTAATTAGTTTGTAAACTTTGTTAACTTTTAATTTCAGTTGTAATTAAAAAAAATTATAAATTTACCAAATAACTACTTTATTGTTATATTAAAAAAAAATAATTTATAAATAGAATTAGATAAAATGTTAATTTTAATTGAATAATAATTTTTTATTATTTTAATGATTAAATTATTTTTATTATTTTTCTTAATTATAAAAATTAGTTAAAAGTATATTGAAGAGGGGCGGGACTGAAGATTACTCCGTCTATTTCTATATAAAGAATATTTTTTATAAGTTTATTTTAACCTTCTCTTGATATTTTTAAATAATTAAATAATTTTATTTTTATTTTAAAAAAATATTAATTTTTTGTTTTACTCACCACTGTCATAGTATTAATTGACATTAGCATGAGGAAAATTAAAAAATTATTGTAATTTAATATGATTTCAACTAAATAATAAATTGTTATTAAAAACATCATATGTTTATGTGCGCGCGCGCGCACACACACACATTATATATACTCCCTCCGATCTTATTTTTAGAATATCCTCTAAAAGTAATTTTTGATAAAAATATAAGATATCTTGTAATAATTAAATTATTTTTTAATTTTATTCTTTCTTAATTAATATAAAGGTATTTAATATAATTGTATCATTATTTAAAGTCAAATGTAAAAATAGATACGCATATCATTTTTAATATAAAAAATTATTTTTTTAAAATGTCTTCTGAATAAAAATACTATTAAAAAGATAGAAAAGTGTGTGTATATGTATAGATTGGGGGATGGACTGATGGAGCATGTTTGAAGAAAGGAAATACTACTCTCTCTATTTTTATATATAAAAAAATTATATCACATAATTTAAGAAAATAAATTAACCATAATAATTATATTTAAAAATAAAAAATTAAACTAAAATGTCCTACATTAATCAACATAAGGATATATTAATTATTTTTTATTAATGTAAATTATGAGAGGTGATATATTAATTATTTTTTATTAATGTAAATTATGAGAGGTGATTTAGGTGATGTATACTAAATATTTATTGAAATTTATTATTTTGTTTATGTAAAAAAATAAAATAATAATAATAAATTTTTTTATAAATAAAAACGGAGAAGTAGGAATGAAAGACAAAAATAAATGCCCTCGCAAGACTACTGAGTTAACAGTTAACTGAATTTATTGCGCGTCGTAAAATCCAAATTCAGTCACTGAACATTGTGCTTTTTGTCCTTGAAAGTCGAAAATAAAAGTGTCACAACTCCCAAAACAATTAAAATATTAGCTCACAATTAAAGAGGAAGTTCTTCTGACCTGAACTTCACCATAATTAATGTTAATTATTAACATTTAAATTCACCTTGAAATTGCAACCTTTACCTCTCAATTTATATTCTCCTCTGTTTCTTTAAAGGAAAATCACAGTGATGGATCTAGAGCATTTTATTTACATAAAATATTTTAAATTTACTTTACAGGATTAAAATACCAAAATATAATTACATTTTAATATAAAAAGATAAAACTATCTCCAATTTATTTTTTTAAAAAAATCCCCTACTATCATGGAGACAAACTTTTAATAAAATAATAAATTCATATAGACTTTTCATATGTAAGTTTTTGATAATAAAAATGAATAAATATTTATAAAAATTATTTTATATTAAATTTTTTTAATAAGTTCTCATTGTTAATTTAACAAATATTTCCTTTAGTCCTATTTATAGACTAAGAAGAAAAAAAAATTTTAGTCTTATTTATAAGTCACGTTATTAAATTTTTATCATAAATTTTTTTTCCTCCATTAAATATTGGAGAGAGAAAATATATTATTGAAGTTTGTATATTTAATAGGAGTAAAGTTGAGAATTTATTAAAGTTTAAGACATAATTAATGAGTTTTAAGTTTTTCTTAGCATTGGTAAAACATATTAGAAGTGACTTATAAATAAAATTAAAGAAGTAACTATTTATAAAATGATAAATTTTGTTATTAGCTTTAAAAAAATTTCTTAAAAATTAATGTAAGATTTTGACAGTAAAAATAAGTAAAAACTCATAAAAATTAATGCATATTAAATTTTTGAGTTAAAAGGCACAAATATTTTAAAAAATTTTAAAAAAAAGTACTAAATATTTTTACCTTTTAAAAGAAATAATATTATAAAAAAATATTAAAAATAGAGTAATTTCACCCAGCGTTAAAATAAAATAACGTTGACTTGGTCTCTTTCTTGTAATATATGGACTGCCACGTGGACTATCCTTTCTTTATTTTCATCCTATTTTGTCATTTTGCGTGCAAGTGTGTACGGTGGAAAGCTTCATCGGACACTAAAACCAAGCTCAAAGGTAAAGGGTCTCCATTTTGGCAGCCAAGTCATCACCAAGTCCTTCACAATCAAAACAACTCTACCTCGACTTTAGACCTTCAAATGTCAACCGCCCCACCCAACAACGACATCGTCATCGCAAGAGATGAGAACCACTCAACCCAGTTACAACTCTCGATTGGGTCATCAGACGTGAGCGACAAGAACAAATTTGAACACAAGTTTCAATCTAAACACCACCTAGTTTGATTCCATTGTTGCTCTGTTTCGATTTGACTTTAAGAACCCAAGTTTCAATCTGAAGCACATATCATTGCTATTTTTGCTCTGCATAGAGATGAAGTGTCGAAGAAGCAATAGAGAACGCGACTGAAGGCGTGGCGGAGGCTACAGTGAGGGACTATGGAAAGAGAAGTTGGGAGTGGCATGACCGGCAAAGCGAAACACAATGGCGAACTGAACGAGGCGGTTGATGAGAATGGAGGCTTCAAGTGGAGTGAACGACGACTGGAGTGAGGTGATTGAAACAGGACACGACAAAGGTACCGACGGTGGTTGACAGTAGTTGGCTTGAGCTGAACGTGGTCAAGTAGAACCAATGGTCCATAGCATGGGGTTTCTGGAGCAATCTCGTCACCTCCCATCTTCACTTTACCAGGGCAAAGTGCCACATGGCTTGCCACGTCAACAATTTCAACACTTCGTTTGTCAAATATTAAAAAAAAAAAAAAACGATGTTGTTTCATTTTTAATACTGTTAAGATAACATTATTCTTTTTAAAAATAAGAATATTGAATGCTCTTTTTTAAAATTTTTTCCTTCAATCTTAAATTTTTTAAAAATATTCATTAATAATTTAATAAATAAACATTTATAAAATAATAAATAATTATTAAGTTTTTGATAAATATTGATATGAAAAGTGAAAATAAAGTTAATATATATATATATATATATATGTAAATTTATATTATATAATTGAAAAAAATTATTGGTCTAATAACTATCCAGTGGCGAGGTGGTCCTGGGCGTAAATTAGGGGGTTTCTATAAAAAAAAACAAGAAGAAGAAGAAGAAGGATAATTTTTAGAGTGAATTCAGAATCTTTTTATCCTTTTCTATAACTAAAAGCTTCAGAGGTCCTTCACCATGATTTTTGCTTTTTTTTAAGTCTGTTTTCTTTTCCCTTTCACAATTATAGTTCCTCCACTTATGTTTTGTATAAGTTGTTTTTATTTTAATTGATTGATTTTTTTTATCCACAAAAATACTTACAGGTATGTTTTTGTTAGAGGCATAATCATACATGTGACGTGGGCAATATTATATTTGCGAATATCTTCTAGCGATAATTTAAATTTTAATTTGTTATACTGTAAAAATTAATTTCTTTTATTAAATTCAACGCTTATTTTATATTAGTAATAATGCTGTAAAAGTACAATTTTTTTCAAAAGTACAAAAAATTAATTTCTTTGTAGTATAGTTTATTGGTCTTATACATTAATCATTTTATATAAAAGGGTGGAACACCAATGAACTTTTTTCAAAAATCATCTTCTATTTATAACTTCCTAAGATTTTTTTTTATTCATGCTTTTAAATAGAAATAAACCTGAAAAGTCATTTCATTAATGTTAGATCATTTTAATGATTGGACTATTTTCCCTTAATTTTAGTAAGATAATTAGATTAGAAGTGTCTTATAGTTGAGATCAAATGAAATATGTACTACCTTCTGTATTATTTATAAGAAAATTTTAACGTTTTCACTGAGAAAGGTTGAAAACGCGCATTAACTTTGCCCAAAATTTTCAAATTTATGACATTAACTGCATGAGCGAAAAGTTGACATATATGAGCCACATTGACAAAAAACAAAAAACTAAAAGATTAAATAGGAATAAAATAATAACTTTGACTTGTTGACCACAGTACACTTACAGAACAATAACATCAACGAGGAAACATATATATTTCACTCAAATTCACAGGCAATGAGTTGAAGAAATTCTTTCAAGCATCCATATACGAAAGAGAGTACTTGGGTATAGTTTCTTCAGCTTGCTAATTCTTGCCATCTAGAATCCGTTACATTTTTGGTTATTAAAAACAGGCATTAATTTAACCATGCCAATGGTTCTCACTTAAGCAATTTTGGTGAGAGATATGACCAAAATAGGATACTCCAACTTGGGCAAGAATTGTACAACCTTGTTCTTAAATCTAAGGAAGAGTTCATCCATGATTCCTTCACCAAAATGTGCCTTCAAAAGAGGTTCAAATACAGATCTTTTGTTTCTGATTATGAACTCTGCTCTCTCGTTGTCATTCTTAAAACGCTTATTTTCTTCTTCATCTAAGCTTGATCCGTCCCAGTTTGTTATGATACTCTCTAATCTTTCAACATTGAGAGATCCTTCTTCTTCTATTATTTCTCTAACTTCATCAGCTGTAGCAAAATAATTTGGTACACTGAAATGTTCCAAGCTCGCCCCTTCAATCAAGTTCTGCAGCATTTATTTGTTATCTTGATGCCCTTTATGTGTGGTATAAACTATGAAAATACATAATTTAAAAAATAAAAATATTTTAAATTAATTGGTTTAATTATAGAGAAAATATCATTTAAGGACCATTGAAACAATTTAATATCAAATAAAAATCAAAGATTATAAATATCACTATAAGAAAGGTATGTGTATTATAATTTTGTCTCATCTAAAATTATTTTCAAATCAATCCCTTAATTTTATAATGATAATTCAAAAATTTTTAATTCTTAATTGATATCAAATACTTTCAATGATGATTTTTTTCCTTTATTATAATGTTGGGCCATGATCAAAGACATAGGGCCCGTTTGCATATCTGTAAAAAATTGATTAATATAATTAATTATATTATATGGTATGTAGTTGATTTATAAAATTAATTAATAAAATTAATTTTAATCAAAATTAAAAAATAGAATCGTAAAGTAAATAAAATCATAGTTTTGTAAAGATATGTCAACATGCGCTTATTATATGAGAAAATTAATTATGAATTCAAAAGTATATTTTTTAAAAAAATTTCAAACACTCATTATACGTGCTAAAATTAATTATAAATTAAAAATCATATTTTTTAAAAAAATATCCAAATCTCCATTATACATGCTAAAATTAATTATAAACTCAAAACTATTATTTTTAAAAAAAATATTCAAACAGCCTGACACATGCCAAGATCAATTATCAATTATTTAAACCTAACTAGTATTTCCATATACCATAAATGTATAAAGTATAAGCGGCTTCAAACAACATTTTTTGAAAAATTTGCTTTCAAATTAGGAGATGAAGAAATTTTACCGGGATATAATTAAAAAGGCGCTTTTGGATGCATTTTAATTTGTACATGTAATTAGTCAACATGCTTAATGATATCTTGCTAATGATTAAATTGATTTAATCCAAGTATATAATAAATTGAGATTACCTACCTCGGAGACCATGTCCTTGAGTGTCGTACGAATGAGCCCTGGAACACTTATATTTTCAGAAGTATCAAATCTACCCATGAATGTGAGAAGCATTCCACCCTCAGGCACCAATTCGTTCGAACGTGATCTTAAAAATAGTTTGAAATCTTGTTTGAACTGCTCACCGTATGATGCAGGACTCATGCTCATCACATAAATATTCTCTTTATCATCATCTGACATTTTTGCCTCGCTCCACGACTTTGGAACCTGTTCCCAACGTGCAATATAATATATATAATTGAAAAAATTATATTAAAGTCTCACATAACAAAATTTAATTACTGTAAGGTCCATTAATAACTAAATTAAATTATATTGACAACGCAATCGGTTGTCAATACAGTTTCGTTTAATTATCAATGAACCTTCTAATAATTAATTTTTTTATGTGGGATTTGATTGTAATTCTCCTTATATAATGCAACCTACATACATGCAGAGGCAGCAATCTAGAATTGGGCTCAATTTAAACTGTGTTAATTTAAGCTTGTCATAGTAAACCCAAACTTGCCTACACAAGAAGCAATTTATGGAGGCAAGTTTGGTCTTAACAACTCTAACTTCTATGAAGTGGACTTGAATGTTTAAATTGTCAAAAAAAAAATTATATTTTTAGTTTTTTAAGAAAATTACATTAAAATTAATTACTGTTATTATTAAATAAAGATACTCTCTATGTTTAAAATATAAAAAAATTTTAATTAAATTTCACTCCTAATAAAATAATTAATTATTTTAAAACTAACATTGTCTTTATTTATTAAGGTGTTTCACAATAAAATAAATATAAAGTGATTTGGTATTAAACTTTTTAGAAGGTTTGTAGTTGTCATTTTCCTTGAATCAGAATATAAATAGAAAAGGGAGGGGGGGTGAAGGTGGACGATGATTACCTGGGAGAGCCATTGGAGAGAGAAGGAGGAATGGAAGAAATGGATGGAATGAGAGGGGAAGAGAGTGGCATAGAATGTTGCCAGGCGTTGCATTGATCCAACATGTGTGTTGTTTGAGAGTGTGATAGAACTTTGGGAGTGATTGGAAGACTGAGTTGAAATCATTCCCAAATAGATCGTTGAGGAAAAACTGGAACGTGGGCGTCCCAACCTTCAATCTGCGACTTGTTTCATCCACAATGTCTATGATGTTAGATGCCACCAAAAGGGCATTTGGTCCTGAAGAACACCCCAAATCTGCCACTTTCAAACATGTTGGAACGTCGTTGCACAACATCTTGTTGACGCTTTCTCTTAGTATAGGTTTTACTTTCATTATCACCTTTCTCTGCATCCAACAACATATTTAACTATTGGATTTTTCACATTTAATCAAGGTAGTAAAAACTGACTGGATTAGTCAAGATGTTGGCTTGAGAATCAATAATTTGAGCATATAGAGTCAAACCTCAAAGCTCAACTTACAAAATAAGGGGGAAGGACGAGTATGGATGCAAATAAATACAATGTAAAAATTGAGTCATCAATCCAGTTTCAGTAAGATTTCTAGGTCGACAAGGTGATTGGTTGACTAGTTAAACCATCTAATCTGATTGCTTGAAAAATATATGATAAGGATGGAGAGAAGAGGCAAATACATAAAGAAAGAGATTTGATGAATTAGAATGGAAGTGAAGAGAGCGTACGGGTATTGAAGAGTTGTTGGCATAGCTTGTTTCTCCAACGCCTTCTTTCATATGAAGCACTTGCTCTACACCCGCATCCATGCCCGCTTAGCTCCAACCCACTCTCATCCTTAATTTATATATACAAATGCACAGTACCAACTTCACATCAACCTTATATTTACCTAATAACAAAAGCCCTTTGCAGTTATCTTGTCTATTTTGCTGATGGGCGCTTCTGCTTATTATATTATATAAAACGAGAGAATCATCCATCTTTACCTCGCTAGCTCTCTAAACAACATAATTAAATGTCACAAGATTTCTTAATAATTGAGTATACAAAAATGACTATTCAAATAATTGGCGTACTTTGATGTAATTCGCCCTGAATAGATTAATTGTCATCCTTTCAAATCATGTCACGAGGGTTTAACTCCAAACATTTCCCCACTAGAATCACATATAGTTTATTTTCATATTGAGAGAATGACATTTGAAAATGTTCTAACAACATTAATTACAATTGAAGATCTTTGAATTATGAAATTTTATAAAAAGACTATATGTTCCTTTGTTGAAATTAATTTTTTTAATTGAATATTTCCAGTACTCATAATCACATTTTTAGTACTAATTATAAAGAAAAAAACTTAAATACTTAATTAGCCTTAGATATTTAATATACTTATTTTCAATTAAATCAGGATATGTGTATCCTTTATAAATTATTTAATCTATAATAAATTCTTGTTACTAATATTATTAACATATTTAAATATACATGTCTTAATTTAATCAAAAAAAGTATATTAAATATATAAGTCTTGTCCAATTAAAAATATAAAAAGTCAGTTAAATTCCATTTAAATATCATGTTTTTTCACATATCACAAATGATGTGATACAATTGATTTATCTAAATATTTTTCATGAGAAGAGTACTAAAAATATTCCATGAAAATTTTTTAGTACCCAAGCAAACATCACGATCTTTTTCTTAAAATTTATAATTTCAACATTTTTAATTATAATGAATGCTCTTAATAGGTCCGTAAATTCTAGTTTTCCTTTCATATATTGTAATTGTAATATTATAAAAATGAACAATATATTGGAATTGATCGCTTGAGAGATTTGCCAGTAATTTATGACCTTGTCCCTGCACTAGACAACATGGAAGGCGGGGATCGTGCATAATCAACGTTTAATTTAAACTAACAAGAACACATGATAAGGCAATATAATGATATCAAGTTAGGCACAACTACCCAAATATAAAAATACATTATATTTGTTCGGACCCAATAAGCATGAAACTTTTGGGGTAAGAAAAATGAAAAAAAAAATTAAATAGATATCAATAAAACTAAATAATCAACTAGCCCAGATGAGATCTATCAAAGGAGCTAGTTTCTAATCAATTATAGCATGATAAATTAAGATTTAAATTTTTGTTAAAAAAAACTCCCTCCTTTTAAAAATATAAAACATTTTTAATCGAATCTCACCTCTCAATAAATTAATTATCTACTTTTAAACTAGCTTTATTTTTTTATATTTACCCTTATTAAACACCTTATAATAAACATCAAGTTACTATCAATAGGGATAGTTTTAAAAAAAATCAATAATTATATCTTAAAAAATTAAAAATATTTTATATGTGTAAATATTTAACTCCTTAAAAAATAATTTATATTTTTAAATGAAAGAAGTATATTATAATTTATAATTTTTTTTAAAAGAGGGAAGTGTGCGTTTACTATTAATTTTGCAGACGTGCTTATGTTAAGTGATATATGTACACGTGCGACAGTCCGTTTCTGGAGAATCGCAAAACTTGATAGTAAAGCTCCTCCACCATACCACGTCAGCGAGGGTGTTCTGTATCACAGGTTGGGGTAAATCTGTGGTGTAACTGCACAGATGTTAACTATTAAGTTGATTATCTGAGTTTAATCTTTTAACATTTTTAACTTAAACTCACACATACATTTGAACAAAATATGAACTTGATTAAATTAACGAGTTTACTTTTAAATTTATCATTTTAATATTTATAACTTATAAAATCATATTAATTAATTCATAAATTAATACTAGATGTAAATTTAGTTAAATTTGTCAATATTTTTTTATTTGAGAGAGTTATGTATATAATATAAAAAATTTAATTTATAAAAATTATATGACCTGAGTCAAAGAAAAAAAAACTTGAAATACAAAAACTAATATTAATAAAAAATAAAAAAAGTTTTCCTATTTTAAAATTTTTATATTTTGTATATGATAATTTATCAATATAAATGAGTTTAATTTCAATTACTTATATTTTTAATATATTTAAATTAAATTACAGTCATATTCTAATGGCTATTTGTTAATAGAGATGAGTTTATAATTTAAGTTTATGATACAAGTTTATATTTCTGTTATGAATTTATTTAAATTTATGAGTTTAATAATCTTAATAAACTATAACATTACATATTACTTCGAGCATTATTGCTTTTTATAAAATAAAAAATTGAAAGGTAAAAATATCTTGAAATTCTTTTTACCAGTATAGCCCAGTGTTTTAGTTTTTTTTTTTTTAGTAATATCATTTCAAAACTTTGAAAAAAAAAATACAATATTGCCTTGCAAGTAATGTTGACTATTAATTTAACTTTAAGGTTTGTTTGGTTCAAGAAAAAGGGAGAGTTTTAATGTTATATTGTTTGGTTGAAAAAGAGGAAGAAAAAATAATTATATATAGATAAATTTATTTTTATATTATTAAAATTACTTTTTTTAATAAAATATAATTATGAATATTTTTAGCAAGTAATTATTATTATTGTTAAATATATTATTAAAAATCTGCAATTGTTAAACTTATTTAAAAAGATTAAGAGTGGCAATTACAAGAAAGGCGTGTCAATCATTGTGTAACAAAATTATAGTCCCACTTTTCTTCCCTCCAACTAAATAATTAGTAAATGTCAAATTGGCAGCCACATGATATTTTTAAAAACTTTTTTTTTTTTTTTGGAAAAACAATGGTTAATTAATTAGCTCCCCTTGTTTCTTCTTACCCTGTGCAAAGGAGATCACGGCATCACGCAACAAAGGGGCGCACCCACGTGTGTCCAAGGATATCAGCTAATACATTCGAGAATGGGGGACCTAATATCAGGTCGACGCAGATAGGGAATAATAATAATAATCTTCATGGAGCCGACAATAGGAATCAAGCAATGGTGTGGTATTCCATTTCCTCCATTCATGAACTGTTTTGAAAAATGAATCTATCTGTAATGACAATCATTTGTTCAAATCGAGTATTGTTGATCATTTCGGGGACTATAAATTCACTTTAGCAGAAATGAAAACCTGGTTCTGTTTTTTTTTTTTTTTTTGACAGAAGTGAATGAGAGAAGTTAAAAAGAGAAGCGAGAGCTTTGACTCTGTTTTCTGTGAATCTGTGGATGATGCGATGGGAATGCTGGATTAAGGAACAAGCTTGAATTCGTTGATCGACGGCCTTCCAAGTCGACGCTACTCTAAAATCTGTCACCGGAGGACAGCTCTCCCGACGGTTCAATAAGGATGATGGCGATGGATCCCTCTTTTTTTCCCAAAAAAAAAAAAAATTTAAAACACACGATCAACATTATCGATGGCAGGGAGTATTGCGCAATTTTTTAAAAATTTTAAGATGACATTGCTTTAAAAACATTTAAAATACTAGACGTCTTTTGCAAAAAAATTGCAAGATATTTTTGCAATTTAATTCTAAAATAAACTTGAAATGACTTAATTTATCACGATTAGTATCTTTGGGTCTTTGTCAAGATCATCTTTATGATATGTTGAATTAATTTTTAAACATTATAATCATGAATCATCTTTATATGATAGCGAAAAAGTATTTATTTTAATTTTACTGATAGAGCACTTTTATGATTACCATGTCCATCTCTAGTTTTTTGTCTTCATTAATTAAATGTAAGAAATATTTTTAAATATTAAAGCATTTATTTTTAAAGTATAAATAAATTAAAAAATTTTGAGTTTTTAAATAAAAGTCAACAAGGTTTAAAGTTGGAAGAATTTTAACTAAAGATTGAGGATATGACTTACTCCTTAGTGTGTGTTTGTATAGCACATTAATCGATTTTTTTAAGGGAAAAAGTCAATTTTGCATGAAATTATCCGAACGGTGACTTTTTCAAAAAATCAATTTTTTTATAAAAATTAATTTTTTTTGCAAAGCTGAGAATCCGAGCACATGTAGATACGCTTGCCAAAAATCTTAAAAAAAATTACAAAGATAGGCCAAAATTATAAAAAAGGCACATAGTTTAATAAAAATAAAATCAAACTTTTTTTTTCTTTTTTAATAAAGTTTAAACTTTGTATCTTTAAAAAATTAATATTTGGTATTTAAACATTAAATTATATAGTAATTTATATAGATAAAAATTAATTCTGATTAAATTATCCAGACATCTTCAATTATATTAAAACTAATTTTAAAAAAACAATATCCAAAACACATTACGTTATAACATAATCAATTATGATTAAAATCTACCATTTAATCAATTATTTTCATAATCTATTATATCCAACTGAAATCTAAACGGGCACTTAGATACTATAATATAAAACATCTTCTAAAAACTTTACTTGATTCATAATGTAGGGCATTGGATGACTTTTATATTTATTTTTTTAATTATATTTCTATTTTATTTATTACTCTTTTTTTAAAAAAATCATGTATTGAAATTTTAATCAGTATTATCAAGGATCTTTTATAAGGTATTTAATAAGGGTATAAATAAAAAATGTCAATATTTTTAAGAATTTAAAGTTTTAACTAATATTGTTTATAAATTGTAAATTAGTTAACTATAACTTTGTATCTTAGATAAAATTAACAAGTAAATAATATTTAATTTTTTACCGTTGAAATTATTGCCATTTCAATTTCTCATGAAATTTTTAAAACTCATTAATAATTAAGTTACATTTCTTGTCCTTAATTAGAATTCTCTTTTTAAAGTTTCTATTGATTTCGCTTGGTAAGACATACTGGAAATGAATTGTAAATATGACCGGAGACCGT